CTGCATTCTCTTGGCGCTCTCAGAAACAAACGTTAGTTGCGACGTCTTCAAACCATGTTGAGATCATTGCACTTCATGAAGCAAGTAGGGAAAGTATCTGGCTCAGAAACATGACTCAACATATTCAACAAGCCAGTGGACTATCAAACAATAATGACCCAGCGGTAATATATGAAGACAATGCAGCATGTGTCGCTCAAACAAAAGAAGGATACATTAAGAGTGACAAAACTAAACATATCCCGCCAAAGTTATTCTTATATGCACAAGAGCTTGAAAGAAACAAACAAATCAAAGTTCAATACATTCGATCAAGCGATAATGCAGCAGATTTGTTTACGAAGGCGCTTCCGACGACAATATTTCGAAAGCACGTGCACAATATTGGAATGAGACATCTTCGAGATTTGCACGGATGATAACTCGAGGGGGAGTATGTGCGGCTGTACTCTTTTTTCCTTATCTCGGTTTTTTTCCCACAGGGTTTTTCCAGATAAGGTTTTTAACGAGGCAGCATAAACGCACATTTAATAGTGGTAATTCCAAGGGGGAGTATTGTAAACAAGTGGAATTTACCACTATTTATAATCTTATCATTTCATTATTATATTAATATGTATATAGGTATGTGTGCCAATTAGCCTATAAAAGGGCTAGAGGTGTAATGCAAATGTTGTACGAAAGTGAAGTGAAAGTGAAAGGAAAAAATCTGTTACAATTTATATCCGGTTTCTATACATTGTGTTCTTTATATTCCCCGTATTTTATAACAGTAAAATGTTATTTAAAAAAAGGACACAGTATTTCACACAATATTACACCCTAGAAGTTATATACACACGTGAAAACGTACTTATTCATGTCAACCTCAGCAATACATACATGAACTCCAAATTACTTAACAATATGTAACGACTATATAAAGAAAGCTAACAAGGCCTCCACTGATTAACTCACAGAATAAAACTGATTTCCAATAGCAAACAATAATAAATTTCAATGCTCTCCAAAAATCAGATGGCCTTAGGATCCACCCCAATGTCTTTCAATGTCTCAACGTGTAAAGGCCTGCAAATCATGTATATCCTCCTATTACATTAATAAATGTCATAAATATAACTAATTTTATATATTTGTTGTATATTTCACTACAAGAAGTTGCATGTATCGTGACAAAATTCGTGTGACGAAAAAAAATTCGTCACCTTTGATTGTCTTATGGTGACGAATTTGAGAATTTGTCACTACATTTTTGTATATTGCGACGACTACTACTTGCGTCATAATCGAATTTGTTTTTCGTCACATATTCATAATTTACATGACAATACATCTAAATTCGTCATCTTTACATAAAATATGACGAAATTCCATGTGACAAAATAAATAGCGTCGTTGTTAAAGGTTTTTAGGATGACTCTTTTCAATAATGCGTCGTAATATAATTTTGTATTGTGACGATATATTACACTACATCTAAATTCGTCACAATAATATATAATATGACGAAGTGCAATGTGACAAAATAAATGTCGTCGTTTTTATGATATTTAAAATGACGCTTAAGAATGATTCGTCATTATAAAATTGTGTCTTGTGACGATATATTACAATGGATCTAAATTGTCACAATAATACTTTTTATGACGAAATACAAAGCGATAAAATACGTGTCGTCATTCTTGCTGGTATTTGAAATGACGTTTACGAGTAAATTGTCATTATGTGCTTGTGTCTTGTGACCATACATTACATACATCTTTATTCGTCAATGAAATACATATTATGACGAATTTTACGATGACAAAATAAATGTCGTCGTTTGTTTTGGTAACTACAGTGACGCTTTTACAATCGTCATTACATAATTTTTTATTTTTATACTATCAATTTATGTTATTTTTATACTAATTTACCTGATAAATTTTAATTAAATATTATCTATATATTAAATAAATATTTACTAAATAAATAAATGTATTAAATTTTAATTATACATTTCTATGGAATTTTATATTTACTATTTATTATTTATTATATTAATATTTATGTATTTTAGTATTTATTATTTAAATAGAAAATATAGTAAATAATAAATAATATAATAAAATAGAATTAAATAAAATATATAAACTACAGAATAAAACAAAATAATATATTTTTATTTATTAATTATAGTTGTTTTTAGTACGTAATTAATATATATATAAAATTAGAAATATCAATGCAATAAAATTAAAATTAATTAAATGAATTCAAATAATAGCACACTTTAATTATAGTAAAAGAAATGTATATTTGCATTAGCAACTTTAATTATAGCACACAATATATATCAGTGTAAGCAAATTAGGTTCACCGTACAACACGATTTTACCTCGCACATTCTCAATCCAACCGCCTCCATTTTTCTTTCTCTCTATTCTTGTTCATTCCATATGATGATAATTGATCTAATATCGGGAAGATTCTTATTCGGGTTAAATCGGTTCTCGTTGCTATTTTCGTAAAAACAATTTTGCAGAGAAAAGCTTGAGAGGAATCAACAACGGTTGCGATGGGTGAGAGCGGTTCTTCCGTGGCCGCCCAGGAGCAGAGCAAGCCGCCGACAGCCACAAAAACGATGCCGTTTGCAGCTCCAGCGACACTGCTTCCCCGTCTGAGTTCGTGTGTTCGTGTGTACGCCGTGGGATTCAATTTCGGCGATGCTCGATCCTTCGAAATAGGCCAAGAAACTGGATGGATTTTGTAGTTTTTATTTGTTCTGTTATTAATCTTTTCTGGGTTTATCTATTATGTTTCATGGTCGCAAGGTGCTTGATTTTATGTCTGTGTGGTTCTAATTAAGTTTTTGAACGAATTACGAGTAAAGGCTCGGAAACTTTTTCCCCCCAATTTGTTCTAATGAAATCCATTCATTAGATGTTATCAATATGTTTTGTAGTTGTGTAGTGGGAGTTCTCAAAGACTATGTTCTTACTTTTATATGTTTTGAGTTGTTGAGTTGCTTTTTCCATATTTGTGTAATGATCTGCTCGATTTTGTAAAGTTTTTCTTTTGTGAATCAATAGAATCTGAATCTGATGCATGTTGCATTATTTCTGATTAAAATTAATGCCATTAACAAGAGTCGTAATTTATAGTGTGGTGACGCCTTGTAAATTTGTAGGTTCCCGAATACATACTTTCTCGTTGGGTGCTGTAGTGATGAGGTCACACACAAGTATAAAGGAAAGACGGTTATGACCGAATCCGAGCGCTATGAATCCCTTCGTCATTGCAAGTTTGTTTCCTTTATCCCATTTTCTTATTTTTCCTGATTTTGCTGCCTATGTAAGATTTGTGCAGGACTATTTTTTTTGTACTTGTTGTATCTTGATGAGATTGGTCAGTATGAGGCCAACTATTCAGCATTCCATCACGATGACTTGAATTTTCATTTCTATATTGGCTACATTTGAAAAATGGCGATGTGTGGATTTAAGTGATATCGAATTGCGTTTGAGGGATGAATGCTAATTTTGTGCAGATTAATTGTTTTTTGTAAAACTTATTCTTGTTGCAGTACACATGTGATGATTGGACAATTTGATATATGTTGTCTGGCAGGTGGGTCGATGAGGTTATTCACATCTGATGAATGGAAATTTGATATCTGTTGTCTGGCAGGTGGGTTGACGAGGTTATTCCTCATGCCCCATGGGTGATTAATCATGAGTTCCTCGACAAGCATCATATAGATTACGTGGCTCATGATTCTCTTCTGTAAGATCCTTTTATCTGTAAATATTCAAATCAAACTTCAAAATTCATGAGATCTTACGTTTATTGGAAAAACACTAGTTGAATTACTCTTGCTATTGCTTTTTTGAGTTATACTACCAAATTCATGGTATTTCACTTGTTTTTAATCTATTTAATATGAATAATTATTTGAACTAGGTGTGTGATAAATTAATTGCAAGTGTTGAGGTGCTAACTCGTATTTCATAGCATGTGCCTGGAAAATGTATGCATGTTGAATGCAATCTAGTGCTCTTGAACAGGCAGAAAGAAGCCAAACCATGCAAAACAAGGGGCAAGTATCGATAGACTTATGGTTTTCATGGTTGCCACCGGGAACAAAATCTGACCTCATAGTTACGTGTAAGTAATAAGTTTCATGTTAGTCATGTGTGGAATTACTTTAGTGTCCTACTCTTCATATTTTAATTGATTTGGAAAGCTTAGCACTTACAAGAGAGCATTTTTGTGTGTGGCTGCTTAGATTTAGCAAGAAGAAGGTTCCGAGGCTAGTGTTTTGAGGTTGAATATATAAGACGCTCTATCAGGCGATATGTCAACTTAGAAATGTGATACTATGGGATCTGCTATATTTTTTATTAAAGTACTTTGGCTTTGGTATTATTTATTGTGTTTGGAACATTTTGAAATTGTTAGTTCGTTTATTTATGTTTTTAAATTAGCAAAATTACTATTGTTATTGTTGTTGTTGTTTTTTTAATTTACCATTTAGAACATATTACAATTATATATTACTTATTATGATATCATCAATTAAATGAGCTTATGATTAATGCTGCTATAAGTGTTTAGTTCCACAATATAATTGTTATGAATGATGAAAGATTTTGTCATTGTATTATATATGACAAATAAACTTGTCACTATATATTTGATTAATGACAATTATTATATTTATAATATTGACAAATTTTTAATTGTCATTAAAAGTAAAGTATTTTTTATGACAACATGTAATTTTGATGTATTTGTTTGGATTTGAACCATACAAAATTTTAAAATGACGATAAAATTTGTCACTAAATATTTATCTTTTTATGGAAACTTATGTTGTCATTATATCTCAAGTTTTTTATGACAATCTTTTTATTCGTAATCATAGAGATGATTATTTCTTGACAAAAGAATTCGTCGCTTTTGTACGTTTTTTGAGACAATTAATATTTCGTCACTACTTCTATTATTTTTTGACATTTTATTTATCGTCATATTTAAAATTTTTTCTATGACGACCAATATTTTGTAACTTTAGAATAACTCTTTCATGACAAATTATATAAAATATGACGATTTTTATTACGGAAATGCCACAAAGATATTCGTCACTGTAAATTTTATAAATTCGATAAAATAATAAAATTCGTCACTAAAAAATAATGTTTAGATGACAAAGCTAAATTTGGTCATTTAAAACTTGTATTTTTATGACAAAATAATCGTTTACATGACAATATTCTCATAATAAAGGTGACAAAATTATCATCATGAAAGATGCCTAAATAATATGACGATACTTATAAACGTCATTGAAAGTGAAACATATGCTGACATATTCAAAATTTGTCATTTAGATCTATTATGACGCGGCTACGGTGACGATCTCTGTGACGAAAAAAATGCGTCATCAATTTATTTTTGTGACGAAAAATAAGGTTTACATGACGAATTTTATCGTCATGTTTTCTGAAATTTCTTGTAGTGGAGGGTACGCGTCATTTTGATGACGACGAGACAACTTTATATGAGGGTCCCTCTGTTTGATGCGCAGGGGTTGACAGAGTCTGTGGGTCCACCTATGTTTGATGACAGATGTCGACCGAGAATGAGGGTCTGCCTGTTTTTGAGAAAGTCGAAGCTGACGCGCAAGATGTGGAAACTGAAGTTGGACAATATCATTATCTCAGGCCAGATCTTATTCAGAAGACAAAAGGAGGTGGTATTGATGTGATTCAGACTTATGTTTCCTGGAATGGGCATGTGCTTGAAGCTGAGAAGTAATATTTTGAGGAGAGTTTCAGGACAGGTAACGAGCCTTTTAATGTTTCTATGCAAAATCTCAAAACCAACATTGTGAATATGATAAACTTGATGAAGACGAGATTGCATCGGACTCGAAGGAAAATCCTTGTCGATAAAGGGGGAGAGGGGAGGAGGGGGGGGGGGAGGGGGGATGATGGAGAATGGAATTATTAATTTAATTAATTATTTATTTCATTTATTTTGATTATTATTAGTTGTATTCTAGATTTGTTAGGAAATTTATTTATATATTACTTTATTAGAATTTTTTTTTTGTTGGACAAGTAAGTGAGTTAGGGTTTTTAGGAGTCTTATTTAAAGACCCCATTCTACGTTATTTTCAACAATTGAATTTGAATTAAGAATTGATTGTGTTTATCATGTTCATGAGATTAAATCTCGTTTTATCGCTCCCACTCGGCTGCTTTCCCTGCATCACTTTGAGACCATAAAAATACAAGTGCCAACGCACATAACCATGAAAAGACATTGCGGAAAATTGATTTTGAGCTTAGAGGTGAATTGACAAACATTCATTGCGGCTAGTGCTACGTTGCTTAAACACAAGACAAACTGATCCTTAAATGATTTATCATAGCTGATCCTGGGGTAGGGTTGGCCGGGTGACCACTCATGGCCCCCTGTTGCCCCAGGGCCCTTTTTTACATATATTTTTAATATATATATAGTAATTATATAATAAAATATTGAATACAAAATTAATTTTAAATCTTAATTTTTTTTGTTCTTTACACAAAGCTTTTCATATTTATTCACCTTATAATAACCATGAATAAATTAAATATACAATAGTTATTAATATAAAATTAATAACTTTTTACATATATTCTCTCAATCCTTTTTAATGCTTTATTAATTTTCTCTTCTTGCTTAGATATATTAAATGCGATTTTTTTAATGGCATTCAATCATGTTAGTGTTGGATATTTGGTGTCAAAATTACACGAGAATCCTATGAATTAATATGTATTTTTCAGTTCTTACAAATAATCTAAAAATAGAAAATTACAATTGAACTGAAAAATAAATTACAACTGGAAAATAAAAAAATATAACGAAAGATTTTAGCCAAGGCGAGTAAAACTCTTTCCGCAAGAAGAATACGCCCCGTGTGGCAGCTAACGGTTCAGGCGTAACTTCCCCAAAGATACAACGACATACGTCTCTAAATCTGTCGCACACCAGGTTTACGAGCTCCAGCGAACGGGAACAGAATCAAGAATTGAGCACTATATACAAAAATAAAAATATATATTATTTTTATTTTTCTTCTTTTTTTTTCTTCCCTTTTTTTCTCTCTTTTTCCTTTCCTTTTCACTTCTTTTTCCAGCCAACTTTTCTCTTTCACTTTCTTTCTTTTTTTCTTCTTCTCAGCCGTGTCTATCTCCTCTTCCCACACACACACACACACACACACACACACACATATATATATATATATATATATACATATATATATATATATATATGATAAAGGAACAATCAATTGAAGAGAATATGAATCAAGAGGTTGAGAGTGGTTGGAATATAGGTTGAGAGTGGTTGGAAATTTGTTGCAAAAGATACTTGCAATGTGCTGGAAAATGATTGATGGAATATTAATTAAACATATTAATTTAACACTCAATAATAATAATCCCCCACATGAGTGTAAATTAAATATATGCACACTAGTGTGCTCAATTCTCACAAAACTCTATTGCATCAGAAAAGGTAGCTTTTGGCTTTGAACCTTTCTTAATAAACATCATCGGATGCACTGGCGGACTAGTGGACATAATGCCTTGAACTATTCCTCCGTAGTGTACACCGATACAATGACATTCACACAAGTGAGTCTTAACCCCATTCCGTTTTATCGTTGTGTCCGTTTGGCCATGGGCAACACAATGGATTCATAAGTGTTTACATTTGAAGCGGCCCACACTTCACACTTATATAGGTGACCTTCCTATCAAGAGTATCCTGCCATACTCCACCATTACAAGGTTAGGGATTCATTAAAAGCCCATATGACTTACCCTCACCACAATCAACAGGTAATCTTTCACTTGGAATGCTCTAGGGAATAGCTTTGGACATTCATATGTTCCAAGTGTTCAACTGAATTTTCATACCTTAGTTTTCCCTTTGAACCAAGTTCGTAGGATCTCTACTTAGCATGGTAGGGTTACCGCTATGATCATTCTTTTCATTGTAGATTTTTAAGCACATTCCCTTTAACAAAACTATCAATTGATCTCTATTCAATCCTTTCGTCAAAGGATCAACCAAATTTTCCTTAGACTTCACATAGTCAATGGAAATAACACCATTCGTGATCAATTGGCGTACGGTATTATGTCCACGACGAATATGTCTAGACTTACTGTTATACAAGTTGATTTGCGCCCTACCTATAGCAGCTTGGCTATCACAGTGAATCATTACAGGCGACAAAGTTTTATCCCAACATGGAATATCAGTAAAAAATTTCTAAGCCACTCGGCTTCTTCACCAGCTTTATCTAAAGCGATGAACTCCGATTCCATCGTAGACCGAGCTATACACGTTTGTTTTGTGGATTTCCACGAAACTGCACCTCCTCCAATACAGAAAACATATCCGCTAGTGGAGTGTGAATCTCTCAAATCTGATATCCAGCTTGCATCACAGTACCCTTCAAGTACGGCTGGATATCTCGAGTATTTTAGCTCGTATTCAAGGGTATACCTCAAGTACTTAAGTGCTCTTCTCAAAGCATTCCAGTGTTAATGACTGAGATTGCTCGTAAATCTGCTCAACTTATTCACTGGATAGGCAAAGTCTGGTCGTGTACAATTCGTCAAGTACATCAGACTCCCTATTATCCGTGAATATTCCAACTGAGCCACTGGTTGACCTTTGTTGACTTCCAGATTTATACTGAGATCAAGGGGTGTCTTA